TAAAAAAGTATAGGGGACAATATCATTAACACCTGTTTGTCTGTCATCATATAGCTATATCAAATCCTAATATTTTTTTATATTTCATACAGATTTTTGTTGTTTTACTTAAGAAAAAAGATATTATATTTTTAATACATTTGAAGTCCCCTACGTAATTTTTTCCAATCACATTTCCCTCTTTTTCCTTCTAGAGCTAATGACTATCCTTTTTTTAATTCCCTTGCATACTTTAAACCCTCTTCTTATCCATTTATAAATCAATAATATATAAAATTGTTTTGTATTATTATACTTCATATGAACAGTACTAATGTATTTATATTCTGAAACTTGTTTTTTTTTGTTTTTTAACATTGTTGTTTAAATTTTTTCTGTTGATATTTGAGTTCTAGTTTATTCATTTTAATTATGAATAGCATTACATCATGTGAACATGACACAATAAATCTATCCATTCTCCTGTTAATGGACGTTTGAGTTGCTTCTATATTTTCACTATAACCAGCATTAGGGCAATAGGATTCTTATTAATGCCTCCTTGTGCATAGGTATCAGACTACAAACCTAAAAACAGAGTTACAGTTATAGGTTTGAAGGCATGCTCAGCTTCAAATTTATTGGATTTGGCTAAACTCCTTTCCAATGCAGAAAAATCAATTTACACATCCACCAAGAGTATATGTCAATTTCTTTTTTTCCACAATCTTATAAATGATTGGTTTTATCAGATTATTTTTTCTTAATTAAACGACTTGAACTGTTACTTAGACATTATTCTTATGCCTTTTTTAAGGCACAGCTTGGATATCACCTCCTTGAGGAAGCCTTCCAAGGCTGCCAAAGACTAAATTAGTTGTCCTTCCCATGTGCCTCCATATTGTTCAATTTAGCACTTTGAATACTGCATTACAATGACCTGTTTACATGTCTTCCTCTACATCTTCTCTCGTAGCTCCTTAAGGAAAGGTATTGTGTCTTTTTTCCTCTTCCTATCTCCAGTGCCATGATAAATATTTATTGAATTAGTAGATACATGAGGAAAAAATCCCGAAGGAACAAAATAGGAAATTAGCTTCTTTGTAGAAAAAGATTTTCTTTTAAAATACTAACAGTGCTAAAGGCTACAGGACAGTGGATTCAATTACAAAACAATTCCCCTATGGGAAATCTTTTATCTAGGATATATGCCCCTGTACAAACCAATGTCGAAAATGACTCAACCAGGGAAATTAATGAATTTACTATATTTTTCCAGTATGATGAACAACATGACCTCTTTCTTTTCTCTTCTTTCTTTTTTCCTTTCTTTCCTTCTTTTTTTTTTTTTGATTTTGGTAAAACAAACTGCAAATACATTGTAACATGACAACATACTTAGTTTTCAAAACTAAAATGCATACTTATTATTCTCTTTTTAAAAAATCCAACTTCTTAAGGTGTACAGTGATCTTAATAGCTATCATAAATACACTAACAAGAAGACCTAGAACTGAGTGACTTCAGCTGGCATCACTTGGGTGTTAGAAAGTTGTGTGGACTACAGGCCTGGAGAGTCTTAGAAATCTTACTAATTAGGATTGATATTTTTATTTGCTATTATAAGTAGCATTTCCATTTATACTACTATAAATGGCTAGCCAAACCCAAATAATATGGAAACAAGCCAATTAAAAAAATCTAATGGAAATAAAGAAGACATGATATTATTAATTGAGTCAGCAATGCCTTTTACTTGAAGGTGAAAGCAGATCTATCTTAGGATGTAATGAAGCACAGCCTGTGAATTGAACTTTAACCTCAAAAGAATAATAATTGCCCTAGCTTCGAAAGATGCTTCATAGTAAACTATGGTCATATTGTAAAGGCAAACTGCACAAAGTTATATTGACCATACCTAAAATTCTAGCTAATCCTCAGGATAATATAGTTTGATAAAAAGAGCAAAGGCCTTGAAGACAGACCTCATGGATTGATTTCCCCCTAAATTCTTACCAATGATGTGATTTAAGACAAGTCCCTTCTCCCACACCTTCACCTATGAAATAAATGGACCACATGGTCTCTAGAAATCCTTTTTCTATTAGAACATGTTTTGTAAAACAACCTTATAAGATACACAAAATATCTTGAAAATAATAAGCCACTCTAAAATATTTAACCAAGCTTTAAATCAAGGGGCAAGAGAATAACTAGCCCATGGATCCTCAGCAGATATGTCCCTATGAAAAAACTGAAGATAAAATGGAGGTTAGGATTATGGAATGGTTCTGTTTTGTTGTTTTCATTGTTTTGTAGTACATGGTGAAAAGCTCTTTGGAAACAATAACTAGTTAATTCATATTCTTATAAAACTGAAAAAATACACAAGAAAATTAAGTGCAGAGAGGTACAAATCTTTCAAAACAAACAAACAAACAAGAGTGCAAACTGGGCTCTTCAGCTCTCAGTCTTTTATTTGCATGCTTCTTGTGCAGTTTTTATTAATATGTTATAATAATTATTTAGTAATGCTTATTTTGGCAAAGAGAATGTGAAGTGTTTGATATGTTTTGATGTCACTGTGTGTAATGATTGAAAAAAGAATTTAAATGATCATATCAATATGAGACATCAAATACACTACTTTTTCTTCATCGTTTAAAGAGAAGCTCTAGGCTGCTGCTAGTCAGTATCATTTTTGAACACTTATCTGACTAATAATATCCTTTTTGGCACTGTGGGCACTGTGTTGTAATATATACCACAAGCTGTATATTTCTATTGAATGAGAATCTGGCCAGGAATTCAAAGGTTTATTACAATGGGATACATTATATGGAAACATAAATAGGCTTAGTGGTGTTGGAACTTCATGGGGGAAAAAAACACACAAAGAAACTACCCCACATAAATAATGTGCCAGGAACAGAAAACTTTTCACAGAGTTATTCTACAGCAGATTAAATAAAATGCATAAATTATGTTTTCAAGATTAAAGAAAAACGGTCTTCCTTGTGAGAGGGCCTACATCACAGCATGCTAATAATCCTCAACCTGCACTGCCAAGTAAGATTTAGCAGGGACAAGTCTTGTCCAAGTAGTGTATCATCAGTCAACCCATGTGGGTAGATAAAGTGCCAAACTACTTTGGAAAACAGGATCATGACCAATGATTAAGTAAAAGACAATTTGTATTCTAGCTTTTGTGGAACCAAACTTTGAATTCATTTACTACTCCAATAATAATATCAGCAGCACTAGGGATATTTAGTTTAGTTCAAAGCATTGACCTGCATTTTTATGGAGACTAACTTTGTGAGAGATTTATGTATATATCCAAGCAAACCTTTACCTGCACAAGTTTGATTGGATTCATCTTCATTGCTGCCACAATCATTAGCTCCATCACAAAGCCATCTCTTGGGGATACAGCGATTATTCTTACATTTAAATTGATCTTCAGGACAGCTATGATTGACTGGAGTAAGGGGTAAAGGGAGCAGAGAAGAAAATTTAGTAATATAAAATTGGATATAATTATAATTATTTTAAGTTGTAGTTATGGAAAAGTTACAGTAGTTATATCATAGCACAGTAAATGACATAGCTTCTGTCATTCATTGTCTCATTTTATAAAAATATTAATATTTGAGGCTCTGTTAATATGCAATACTTTCATAGAAGACATCAAATGATTAAACCTCATATAAAAAGAATTATATTCAGTTTCATGTCTTCCCTAACACCAACTACATCACTGACTTTGTTTTCTCATCCCTTAACAAAACATGTAACTGAATTTCAGAATTTTTACCAAAAACATTTAAAATTCATCTCACATTTTAATGTGAAAAATAAAAGCTATGCATCAAGTAATCATATATATCAAAAATAATTTTTTTTAAAACCACACATCCACTCAGGTACTTCTTGAAATATTAAATAAGACTAATTCTGTAATGCTTTCTCCAATGTTTCTTGGAACTGGAAGCAAAATACAGAAAATAAAAATGCATCACTTGTGACCTGGAATTGATGCTAACTTTGAGATCCTGCAAAATTTTAATAGCAAAAATTATCACTATGAGTTTTCTCTCTTAGTACAAATAAACATGCAACCAAAAAATATATTGAGGATAAGACCAATCCTCATACAGGAAGCTGTGCACAGGTAAGGATTAAACCTCCAATATCTAAGCACAACAGGAGGCCATCTTAAAGTTAACCTTCTGTGATTATTTTCCCTGCATTCTAGAGGCTAAATTCCAAACTGAATTGGCACGTTCTTCAGTATTTGTTTCACAACTTCAACATTTTTTGAAGTAATTTCCCTTGTGCCCAGTAGTTGCACTTCTATAGGGTAAAAAATAAATGTTGGTAGTAGTTTTACTCAGAATTTTAAAAATAGCCATTTTATCACGCTGTTGCATAGCAAATGTATGCCTTCCTAATCAGTTTCTGTAAAACACTACCTCTTTAAAGTAGGTTTGGTGATCAACTTGTTTTATCACTTTTTAGAAAGTTTTTATTCATGCACAATAAGAAAAGAAACATGGAAAAGCTTTATGTTTTCCGGCATTTGAGCATAATAAACATGCTCTACTCACTTCAGGGACTTTAGCAAGAATAGCTGCTCATAAGAACAAAAGTCATCCAATATATTAGAGGGTAAATTTAAAGCACCAAGATTATATGTAAGCACTTCATCGATGCTTGATCAAGGTCCTTTGTAATTTTCATCAGTGATGTAAATCAGAGTTCAACAAGAAGTAAATATAATGTATAGTTTTGTAATTTGGAGTTGAGAAGTTAAAGGATAAAAAATGGAATGATAATAGAATTCAAGATCAAAGCTTATGAGTACTTAAAATCTAAAATAACCCTCTAAAATGAATTATATATTTATGGAATATTAACCATTGGATCCCAGAAATAATAATGCTGCTCAGAATCACAGCAATGTTTAGAGAAGACACCATACTGCTGAAACATGGCCAGAGGTGTTTAGCTTTCTGTTGCTCTAATTATTTAGTAATTTATCCATCCATGTGTTAGGTGCTGTGCTAGATTCTGAGACTACAAAGACGTTACAACAGCACATGTCTCCTCATGAAGATATTAATGTGTTAGATACACCAGGTAAGTAAGCATATAATTGCACTATGGTTTGGTAATTACTGTAGTAAAGAAATACACAGGAGATGTTTAACTCCAACTGAGCCATTTTGAGAAGGAGATTTTTTTTTAAAGAGTTCAAAAAAGTCTTCCCTGTGGAGGTAATGGAAAACTATGGTGAATTCCATAGACTGCAAACAGTGTGCAATGTCACAAAGGAGAGAGAGAGAGTGACAGTTTTTAGAGATCAACTTGATAAGGACAAAAATGTTAAGTGGATGCATGATAGACATTTAATGCTAAAAATGTAAAGATGAGATATAACATAAAGTGCTTTATATGTGAGACAATTAATTTTAGAAGTTATCTTGTTGATTGTGCAGCTGTTGAAATAACAAGATTCAATTGCAGCATGTAAACACCTCTCTGGAAGCTGTGTGGAAAGTGGGCTTTAGTTAAGGGAGAAATAGTGGTAAGAATAAGATCAAGGGATTCCCTGAGTTAATTTAAGATGGGAGCCTAATATAGTTAAAGATGAAAACTTAATTATTTGGAGGTAAAAGAGATGGGATTTATTCATAGAATTGAATATGAACTATGAATGAATTAGAAGACTCCAGGAAAAGACCATTGTGTAGGCTTGGTGATGGTATAAACAATGAAAGAAATAAGAAGAAATACTGGAAATTTTAACACTACAATTAATGGGACAAATGTAATGCCCCATATATGCATAAACAAAATGAGCTTCTTTGTGTGTTGGTGAAAAGAACAATTTCACTGATAGAAACATGGAACTAAGACTAATGCATGAACATTGTGATGAAATATTTTTGCCTTCTGGCTACACAGGAAGCTCATATGTAGGAAGCATTCATTAAAACCATGAATAAACAGTGAGTCAGAAGTAAAAAGATAATTAATTTAATTAGTAAATACTACATAATATATCATTTGTGTAAAAATGTAGAAAAAAACACCCTTTACCCTTAGATAAAACATTCCTTCCACTCCAAAGCTTTCGGTTATTGTATCAATTAGTATTTAGTATTTTATTAGTAGATTCACACTTTCTAATATAGATATTAATGGGGTTGAAAATAAGAAGTACATAATGTTGAAGTCAGAGTCCATGTTTGTAAATTAAGAGAAAGTAGTGCTGTATTTATATATTAATGATAATTTATGAATTATGTATTGCTACACATACTGAAAATATTTTTAAAAGTCCATATTCTTGGGGTTTTGTACCAAAGCACAGATAGTTGCATGATACAGATGCACAGACCAATTTTGCCCATTCTTAAAGGATCTTTAAAACTTTATTTTTATATTTTTGATTAAAAAAATGAAAATAAAAACTCTCAATTAGTTCAGCCACTTTAACCTGGGAAATGTTAACTGAAAGAAAAATAATTGAAAAAAATAATGTATTTAAGTAAAATCAAAAGAGCAAATACATGGTGCCAACTTGGGCCAGTGAAGCAACATCCTCCACAACTAGACTGAAGAACAAAACGACAGCCCCAGCACTGTTCCCATCCCCCCAATTCACCAATAAAAAAAAAATCTTAAAGAAAAAAAAAAAAAAGAGCAAATACACATATGTCCAGCATATACCTCTCTCCATGTAAACATATTTTATATCTTTTAAACCCAGGTAGTGACTTTAATTAAATATGTTATCAAAATGTTATTTAATATGCTTCTCCAAATGTTTTCCTTCCATGTTTGTGGAATATTTTGTTATCCCTACCAGAAACATGAAACTAGCCCTATTGCAGCAAATGATAAACAACTAATAGAAGCTAAAGGGGAGATACATCAAAACTGATTTCTATCTGAGTGCCCCAGGTGTGTTTCCTATCATGTACTGAGCCAGTCAAATTAGATAATAGCATGTTCCAAACCCGTGTCTGTCTCCTTGGATCTTCTTTAAGGCTTTGTTGCCAAGGAGCAGTGGAGTGGATCATGACCTTCTGTATGAGTAATTCGGTCTTGAGGTAGTTTAAATTGATTTTCCACATCTTTAAATTCAGAGATCCAAAGGGGCCTCCTATAGCAACCTTCTGACAATGATGTGGGGGGTGCTGACAGCACAACATAGAAAAGGAGAGGACTTCTAGAGCAACCAAGATGACAATATTAAAGATGGAGGAAATGAAAAAAACAGTGCTTTAAACCCATTCAGAGGAGGTATATCTAGAATCTAATCTCTATACAAAAGATGTCTGAGAGAAAACAAAAAGTGAAAGAAAAAGAGGTTCCGTTTGCACCAAAAAAACTTTTAGATTTTCATAGTTCACACACTCAAAGAGTCAGAAAGACATAATATTACTTGAAGGAGAACATACAGCAATTTACTGAATCTTCATCACTTCCATCTAGACAGTCATCATCACCATCACATTTCCACCTAGCTTGGATACAGTGTCTGTTTCTGCAACGGAATTCTCCAGCTTTACATACGTGAGGTAATACTTCTCCAGGATTAACTAGGGTTAAAAAGAAAAAAAAGAAAAAATCCAAGGTATATAAACAATACTAGCTAGCTAGCTACATTCAGTTCATTAAAATGTACATTTTGTTTTAATGACAAAATTCTGATTCATGTCATTTTATAGAAAATATGAAAATATCTTAGCATTGTAGTGTCAACAATCTCAGGAAATAATATTTTTTTTCATTTTTTCTGAAAATAATTACTAGGAATTTTAAAGATTTATTTTAAATAACTTGCACCAAAATAACAAATAATAAGAACAATAATAACATAATACCACCTTGCATTTATATTGGGTTTGTAGTTTGACTTTTTAAAGGGCTTTCATTCATAATCTCTACTAAGAAGTGTTAAATTAAAATAAAATTATATATGCAAATTATTTAGAGTGCTTTTCTCCATATATTCCATGTCCTTTAATCAAATGTTAGAAATTCAGTTAATTGGGATTCACAAAAAGTCTTCCTGTTCTTCTGTTTTCTTTGAGTGGATTTGATAGAGTCTAGAAAGAAAAGGGAATATGTGGCAATAGTTTAAGTAAATGATTTATCTTTCAAGGGCCAGAAAAGGCATTGCATTATTAAAAGCTGACTTGTTGATAGGAAAAACGAAAGCTAATCTTTCCATTCTAGTTCTAATTGCTGTAATCTTTATTTTTGGATAACTGGTTTGGACTGATGAACTATCACAAAACCTATATACACTTCAATAAGGCATATCAAGAAAACATATGTGGAATGTCCAGAACACTTTGTGTTTGTACTCTCTTAATCTTTGTATTTTCCCTACAAAGATTTCCCTAGTTCAAAGAATGGAGGGGGGATGTGACTCTTGAACCATAACTTCAGAGAATCTGTTTCAGAATTAGACAGCAATATGCAGGCATGTTGGTTTGTGGGGCTGGAAAAAAAGAAAAAATAATGGCTGCCCAATAAATTCAAACTTTTATTTAAGGCCATAAGGGAGAAAAATAATTAGTATGGTGAATGAAATATTCAATTAGAATAAAGGTAATCCTATGTTTCTTTTGTTCCCTCGCTCTCAGACAGTGCACACTATATGTAACAACTGACAATAATTTTTCTACCCGGTTTAACTCTAATCTTTTCAATAACAAAATGCTGTAACAGCAATTCCTCTAACGACATCATTTTTGTATGGTGTCTTGAGTATCACATTTTGTAAATATATAGACATGATAGATAGACAGACTGATAACAAATAAAAAATTAAAAATCAGAACAATTTTAAAACAAAAAGGGAAGATCCTGGGTCTAGGGTGCTTTTCATAGCAGCGCCTGGGAGTGAGGATGGGAATCAAAAGGAAGTGAAAGTGCGCTTTGTGATACATCTGATAATCTCTAGGATCAAGCTTTTCTTTCTTAACTTGTGGAATTGATCACTAATAATCTGTATATTTTCCTTCTTTTGTTTTTCAAGGCTGCTCAATTAGACTCTACGACCCTTTATAGTTTCTTGCTTTGAATCCATATAAACCCAGCTTAAAACTGGGCACTTAATGAATAGTAGTTTGATTAACTTCTTCCCTATTAAGCTTAACAGTCTCTCAGAGGTTTTTCTTGTTTTTAAATTCCAGTCAGACGGGAAAGCTGATTTGAGATGTAATCGGCTTCCTCTCCCACTTAAGTTTAGATTTAAGGTTTTTTTTCTAGCCTCTCTACAGTTGACTTCAAAGAAATTGTAAGTCAATCCTGCTGTTCCATAAATTAAGGATTGAGAAACCCAAGAAACCATCAGTTCTCTTTTGATAACAATTCCATCAATTAAAAAAGCTTGGCTTTCACGTGGTGAAAATAACCCAAACCACAGTTTTAAGGAGTGATCAAAGATATCCATATACAAGGGTAAAATTATAATCAATTCCGAATAATTTCATGTATATTAAAGAAAACCAAGACATCTAGGGAAGGACTACCCAAGAAAATTGACATTTTAAAACTAAATAACCTTCCCCATAATTGATTAATTTATAGACAAGGTCTTTAAGTCTATGTAGAATTCAAATGTTTTTCAAGCGATATTTGGATTATTATGGAATGAAGGAAGACAGGCACATTGTCCAAGCTTGTTTTAAACATGGTTTCAAATATACATAGATAGCTGGTTATTTAAAAATTATATTTGGTAATACAAATGTGGAGATTTTCAAAAACAGATAATGACAATGTCTAAAGTTTCATTTTCATTTTTCATAACAAGTTATGAATAATTGCTTGAAAACCAGTAGAGTTAACCTCTTAAGGTAATTTCATATTTTTATATTTACAGCTTTTGATATTAATGTATATCAATGTCATTAACAAAGATCAATGTCACTGTAACAAAAGTTAGGCACTGCTTATATCTGTAATAACAAATATAATAAAACATACAAATATCTTTGACATTTGAAAGTGTTTCTCCAGTTTTTCTAAGTTCTCTGATGTGTTGGTTGAGAGGCATTTCTCCATGGTGTTTTACATGTCTTGTGTCTTCTTTTATTCTGGATTTCTTTTTCGAGGATACTTATACATAATAGCTAACAGCCTTGGAAGATAGAGATGATGCCTTCTAGAGAAGAAAGCAGGTTTTGTCTTCAACCAGGACAGTAAAGGCAATGTTTCCCTTCAGGGCAATGGTTGGAAAGATTTTCTAGAAGACTCTTAAGTTGTGATAGAAACCCACTGTGTGTGCAGAACCCACCTGCACCTGCCTGCACATTGCCCCCATATGATTTTGAGGGAAGGTGGGGCCAAGAGAATCAATGTGAGCATGAAGTTTATGCTTCTGGCTGTGTCAGGAGTAATACAGTCCTTTGTATCTGATTCAGAAATTGTGTGTCTTCTGTCAGAATTCATGAAACTCTGTCAGGCTAATATGGTAGCTTGCAACTAGGGTAACATCTCAGACCCCTCATAATCCTTGATATAATAGTAAATAATTTTTTAAGGTACTAGGTTTTGATTTTCCAAAGTCTTCCAGGACATACGGCATCATTAGTTTATTCCAGCCCTAATCCAAGTCTTCCAGAAGTAATTAGTAGTTATGTCACAGAAAAAAACACATGATATCTACGATGGCTATTAGGTTTGTCCAGGACTCATAATGATAGAAGACAGATTATTTTTGAGCTAACAATGTTCATTATTAAAAACACATGTAATGTGATAGGTGATAATCTGGATAAAATGGCGGCTTAGATATTTAAAAAAAAAAAAAAAACAGGCTTTTCCCCTGCATTTACCTAACTGTGTGAAACTGGGCACAATGTCATCTATAATAGCACTCAAGCTAATGGTCAGGCAATCCACCAACATTTGTGAGGACCAACAAGATTATGAAACAAGTATATTTGGCATCACATAAGAGATCCAACAGCACCTATAAAAATGAGATTAGTGCCTTGTACAAACTTTTACAAGGGAGTTATTTTAAATCATTTTTACACATTTAACATTTCCCCCTGATATTCTTGAATGTAGGGAGAACATTGGCATACACAGAATAGAACAATGCCAAGAACAGAATCAGACATAGAGTAAATGTTTCAAAATATCTGTTGGCTGACTTACTAGAATTAACAAAGATTGATAATTCTACATTATAGTCATTACTGTAGTGAGAGATTCTACTTCAGAAAAACAATATCACCTCAACTGGCTCAACAGCTAATGATCTTCTCCAATCACCCAAGAACATGAATTAATTTAGTTTAATTTAAGGGAAAAAGATCAACATGTAGATAGTAAGAGACAGTGATAAAAGTTCTCCCCTCAACCAAAATAGTGAATGTATAGGGAAAGCTCCATATATGTCACTTTGTTCCAACATTTAATATGACTGAACCTATATAGCACTTGAGTATTTGGGCATAGCCATAAGTTGTTTTCAGGGTATTAACAAATGTTAGAATTGCAAGCTTTGAGTCAGAGTTGTGTTTTGCACTGGGAATTTGAAAACTGATACAAAACCTGTAATTCTACCATCACGACTAGTAAACTATTATAATGCAATCTCACAAGTAAGAAAACTGACAAAGTAATAAATAATCCCTTAACCAGGATCAAAAATTTAATTACAGGGCCGGCCAAGTGGCGTGTTGGTTAAGAACTGGCTTGGGATGCCAGAGGGCCCCCGTTTGGATCCCACATATGAGGGCCAGTGACACTGCCCTCCACAGCTAAGATGCTGAACAACAGCTCGACCTGGAGCTGGGCTGCTGTGGGTCACCGGCAAAGGCGTGAGCTGCAGCGCCCTGCTGCAGTGGGCTGCTATAAGCTACCATGTGTAGCCAGCAGCCAGTGTGAGCAGCTGGCAGCCAGCGTGAGCGGCCAGCAGCCGCTGTGAGTGGCCGTCCAGAAGCCGGCGACTGATCTGCCTCACCCAGAAAGAGCGCAATGATGGTGCCAACTTGGGCCAGTGAAGCAACATCCTCCACAACTAGACTGAAGAACAAAACAACAGCAACTTGTCCGTTCCTCTTCCCCCGATTTCCCAATAAAATCTTTAAAATAAATAAATAAATAAATAAATAAATAGATATAATTACATAAATCATGGCTTGCCTGGAAAGGAATTGCCAGTTCTCATGCGTCCTAGGATACCTACTGTTAGAGCACTGAAATTAGAAGGTCTCTGTATTAATCTTCGATATGTTACAAAGGGAAATTGAAATCTAGAATTATTTTCTTTGGTAAAAACTGGTAGAGTGATTGCTGGAGTTATCATCCAGATCATAATGAAATAAAGGAAGAAACCCTACTAATAAGATTTTATTTTCATTCAGTTTTGAATTATCTTATATTTTGATCTCAGCACAGCAAGTGGACTTAATACATATGTTCCTGACCTTGGTTTAATAAGCTGTGGTGCCCATGAACAACTGCCTATGTTTCTAACTTTGCTTTTGCTCCTTTCAAGCCCAGCATGGTAATCTATTCTAAACAATTTTTATCTCTTCTCTCAATTGATGTTTTGCTCTTGACTATTATT